TATAGCTAAGCAATCAATGGGGCTGGAATTTGAACCTAGATAATCTAGTTTGAGTGTACGTTCTTGACTGTCATGTAAGTAACTGTGGCTTTAATTCTCCCTTTTTTTCCCCAAAATTTCTCACATTGGTAATGCATCATTGTAAGCTTGAGTTGTTTACCCATGACTCTTTCTAACCACACAGTATCTTTTGAATATTTTTGTGTTTCAGGGGGTTTGTTTTACTGATTCTAGACATTTATTTCGTACAGGTCCAGGATTATGATCTCTCAACTGCATTCAGCATCTAATCATACAGTCTCTCTGCTTTGGCTAGAATTCAGGCCTGCACTGGATATGCTGGGATAGCAGAATGCTTCCCCATTGTCACCCAGTATTTGCCCTGCCAACTCCAGAGTCTCCTGACTTCTAGTAGGCACTAGATGATGTGAGGTGGTGGTGTGAACATCCCTTTCAGGACCATATTTCAGGGGACTCACCAACACTTCATTCTAATAGACTTATTGATGCTGAGTGGGGTATACATTTTCACTGGTATTTTAACCAGGACTAAAATGGTTGTCAGATCTTAGTGATACCTTATTTCTTACTACTGTATCTTTCTTATACTATGCTTTATCATTAGTTAGGCCTTCAGTATTGGTTGAAAGGAATTTTCCAGTTTTATTTTTTTCATCTGAAATAATTAGATATGTTTAACTCTACTTTTATTTTTGGGAAGACATACATGATTCTTTCCATAGTAACTGGCTGTACACAAATCTGGAAATGTTCCTCTATATTTATTTTAAGGATGTCCTGATGAGTTCATTCAGGAATTCACCTTCTAATCAGATGCAATCTCCTTAGACCCAAACCTATGACATCTACTGTGTTTTTTTTTTTTTTTTTTTCTCCTTTGAGCTAAAACTCCAGTCATCCTTTGGAATTAGGGATAAATGGAATGTCTGTTCTTCCAAGGTTTTAATTTTCATGCCCAGGTCTCTGAGTTTTTAGGAGTTTGCCTAGGTCTTTTCTGAAAGTGTTAATTCATTTCCATGTTGGATTACATACCAAATCAATTGAAAATATTTTGGAAAACCCTTTGTTACATATCAGCTTCATGAGTATATCAACTTAGCAAACAATCTTATTACTCAAAACTTCATTTTGTTTATCTTTGGTTTTTTTATGACCACTATAACTCCATTCCTACTAAGCCTATTAGTGGTTTTCAGAATTCACATTCTTCTGAGCTCTTCTATGACCCACAAGCATGTGATGGGGGATATATTCCCCTTTGCCCTGAGCCTGGTCAGGGTGCAGAATATGACAGCCCCCATCCAGCAGGAAGGCTCTGGATCATGTAGCCCAGGGGAGGTTTAGCTGAAAGACTCATCTCATAGAGAAACTGAATTAAAAATCAGGGGAGATCATCAGACATATATTTAGCCTGAAAAGGATGGGCAAAGCAGGGAAACCAGATCAGATGGGAGTGAGAAGGCTAATAGAAGAGGATGGGGACAATTATCTGAGCCCAGCAGTGGTCATTATCAGGAATGTTCTGGCCCCTGAGATGAAGGCTGGATGTAGCTGTGGATCTGCTGAACTAGTCAAGGCACCCATCATGTGGCTCCTCTGCTACTGTTTTTGTTTGTTTGTTTGTTTTTCTTCCTTCCTGTGTTCACCTTGTTCAACTCTGTATTTCCATGATTTACATCTACTTCTTCACTGCGGGGCCATGAAAGAGAGACACTTGAAGGAAACCTTAATATTTTTATTCTTTCCAAAAATTTTTTCTGCTTAATCCTGAACAGATCCTTAAAGAGCTTTGTCTGCACTGCTCATGGGAGTCCACCCTCTGGCTCCCTAGCTTCACCCACAGCCTCGGTCAGGAATCACTTGCCTGAATGCATCTCACACTCATTCTTATCTTCTAAAGCTGTTATTAGTTCCCATTTCAGACTTTGATTCACCCCTCGGACCTCAGTACTCTTTCCTTTGCTTGATTAAGATTTTGTTTTTCTCCAATGTCACTGCTTGCAGCAGTAAACCACTTCCCTGGTCAGCCCAGCCGGAGACTCCATTGGCACAGCTCCCATCATCTCTGTACCCAGGGAACTCTCTTGATCCCTCCAAGTGGATCCCAGCCACCTCACTTCAACTGAGACACTTGTCACTGGTTTGTATCCATAGGGGTATGGAGAGGGATTCTTCAGAGAGATCAGCTATAGTATTTACCACTCTCATGGCAGCTGTTTGCCTCTGGCATTATGATAAACAGTGCCCCTCTGCAGGGTACTGGGAGTGACTCCTTGTGCTTCATACCTTTGGGTTCTCTGGTGGAATTATTGTTCTTTATGGCTTTCCCTGCTGGATCTCTTAACATAACTTCAGAAAACTGTTGGTATAGTATAATTCTCCCATATTCCTACTCTCATAAAAAGTTAGCTTTAGTTTTTTTTTTCTTCTTTATAATGTTTCTCAATTCCTTTCTCCATTATACAGGGGCAATTTAGGGGGACACATTTCAGCAAATTACTACAATTATCTTTAGCCTACTGGTGCATTTGAGCAAGCCCTACCTTGTCTTCTATCAGCTCACAGTACAAAAAAAAAAAACCTGAATAATCTTGGAAATACATAGATAATTCACAATCTTTCTTTTCCCTCTAAGAGTTTTTTTTTCCAACTCATTTCCCACCTTAATGGTTAATAAGAAGCAAAAAGAATGACATGAATTTTATTCTAGTGTTCTTCTCATCTGTAAGTGTTGATAGAGAACGAGAACGATGTGTGGATTTATTTAAGAGAATTTCCTGAGTGTGTACTCCATATGAAGCACAGGGCTAAGGACTGGTTTAGATTAAAAACAGTGCCCTATTTCCAGGAATTTATGACCTAGTCAGGGATGGGAACCTACACACATTATAACACAACATAAATACACAGAGAACAATATTTTAAGTGCTGCGAGGACATAGGATGAATATTTAAAGTTACTTGAGGGAAGAAGAGGGTTAGGCTTCCAAAGCTTCCAAGAGAGGTGATGATGCCTGAGCCGAGTCATTTAAGGATTAGGAGGGATTTTCTAGTCACAGAAGGAAAGTTCCTTTCAGGCCAAGGGTGCTGCATTCACAAGGTCATGGAAGCCAGAGAGACAGAACACCAGGCTGTGCTTGCAGAGCATTCAGTCAGTCTGAAGCATGGAGATGCTGCTTAGGAGAGAGGGTGGGAGGGGAGGCTGGAGATGGGCTGGGCATGGCTTCCTGTGCCTTCCTAAGGGATCTGAGCGATGGCGGAAGGTGCTAGAAAGCCTTTGATGGAACTTAGCAGAAGCCCATTATGATATTCATGCATTTGAAAATACTTTTGGCTCCCATGTGGCTGATGGTTTAGAATGGAGATAGGCTAGAAGTGGGAATTTGATTATTAAATTAATGCAGGAAAGACTTATAAGGGCCCAAACAAGGCAGTAACAATAAAAACTGAAAGAAAATATCTGAGGCATATTGACCATCTTTAAGCATCCAGAGGAGAGTAAGATGAGGGTGGTACTCACAGACACTCCTGGGTACAGGTAATCTTGTGTTTGCTGACCTAGCTGATGGTTATGATATGATTGTCTTAAACTTACTTATTAAACTGTGCATTTGTTTTATGTAAATATCTTTCCTACCACAGATGTTTAAATAACTACACACATATGTTTGCCAGACACAGTGGCACACACCTGTAATCCCAGAGTTTAGGAGGCTAAAGTTAAGAGTATTACAAGTTCAAAGCCAGCCTCAGCAACTTACTAAGGCCCTGTCTCAAAAAACAAAAACAATAAAACCAGGCTGAGTATATGACTCAATGGTTAAGTACACCTGAGTTCAATCCCCAGTACCCCCCAAAAAAACCCCAAAACAAAATGACAACAACAACAAAAACCAAAGAACCACATAGACAGACAGACAGACAGACACACACACACACACACACACAATACACGAGGGAGAAGATTATGGGGATAAATTGACAGGATTTGAGCTCTATTCTGCTTTTTTTTTTTTTTTTTTTTTTTTTGCAGGGGATGGAAATGGAGAAATATGGAACAATTGGTACATTCATCTTTTTTTGTTTCAATAACTGGATAAACTTCATAATAAGGAAGAAAGTATAATTAAAAAAATAGTTGGCACTTATTGAACAGTTTCTATGTCCCGAGTAATTAGAATACTACTACAGTGGAACAGATCTTATAAAGCATATCTTACAAATGGGAAAATGGAGGCATGGGAAGGGTGAGCCTCTTTTTGAGGATCATACAATAGATGACTAAACTGGGATTTGAACCTGTGTGTGTATGTATGTGTGTGTGTGTATCTCCAGAACTTTGATGCTGAACCATCATCCTCTTTTTGTCCCCAGTAGATGGGTCTGAATGAGAAAGAGATAGTGAGTTCTGTTTAGGACCTGGTGGATTTCCAGAAGGTAGTTGTTATATGGTTGGAAGGTCAAGCGTGGGGTCTGATTAGGAGGCATATATGTAGGGAAGGAGACAGATACACAACCAGGGATCCACTGAACTATCCAAAGCACGACCCTTCATGCTCCTGAGTGAGTTTCCTGTCTTTTGTTGCTCCACAAGGAAAGATGAAATCGTGACCTTCATCAGAGCCAGGTTGAGCTGCCAGTGCCTGTTTCTTAGCCTAACCCATCTTATCACTATGCTGCTGTGACAGGAGAGGGTTAAGTTTGCTCCACTTTCTCTTTTCCTTATGATAATTCTCTTCATGAGAACACATTAATCTTGTGCTATTTTCTGTTTTCATTACAATCTTTGTCACACAAGTGGAGCATCAGAATGTTAATGCCTCATATCTTCTGTGAAGGATAGTAGAATTCTCCACTGCTTTGACCTTTCCAATGTTCTGCATTTCGATTGGGTCTGGAAGTTGATGATTAATGATAATTACAATAATTACACCAAGGGACTCGAAATATAAATTACCAAATGTTCAAAGGAAGCCACTTGAAACCTTTAATAGAATCTTGAACAATCTCTGTCCAAATGTTCTCACTTCCTCCTCCCGCATCTCCATCAGACATTCCTCGGTGAGTAGGTTGGGAAAGATTCAGCCTAGGTTGCAGCCAGAAGAATAAAAGAGCTGTGATTTGTGAGTCATGTTTTAGTTATATGAAGGGGGAAAAAAAGAAATCAATTTTTAAATCAATAGAATGGTCCTTTGCCCAAACAGCTTTGCTTAACAAAGAGTGAGCATTCCATAAAACAAGACTTCGCTTTCGATTCAGATCATTAACTACGATTCCCATTAGGCGGGAGGTGCCACGGGGAAAGGGGATATTTACTTGTCTCCTCTGCTCTGGTTTCTTGGCTTTAATTTTTCCAGTGGGCAAGGGTTAGCATTCTATGCAGGTTTTGTACCTTTGCCCACAGAATATTCCCAGACTGAGCACTGGCACTAGGACAAGCATATTCTCTCTGAGCCTTTGCAATGGACAAGACACAGATTTCCTGTTTTGTTTTGTCTTTTAATAAGAAATAGTATGAGGCACTGGAATGAGGGATTTTATTTGAGTCCCCTCATTATTTTGTTCTCATTACAGTAAATTATATATTACATTGTGATTACCAGTGCAGTTTATCTCTATCCAGAAGTAAGTTTGGAGAAGTTGCCATGAGGCCAGGCTTCCAAAGAGAAGAATTTTTGAAAAGAAGACATATGATAGCGGGTTGATACGGAGCAGAGTTTTATATGAACATAGAATATAAATAATCACACCTTGCTGCAATTTTAACACTTGCATATAGGTAGTGTGCTTACTTCTAACTGTGTCTATGCTATGGTATACACTAGTTGTAACTAGCCTTAGCCATACTCTAACATTTGGAAATCTACTTATGGAGGATTTGTGGGGAGTAGAAGGGTACTCATGGAGAGCCTCATGGTATAATTCTCCAGACATACTGAAGGCACTATGAACTTCCACTAAGACCAGAATTGGCAAAACTGAGTGCCACATGTGAGAGCCCTTCTAAAAACAAAGTGTAGATTCTTGACTTTTGCCTTTAATGAGAATCATTAAGAAGTATTCAGCCCAGGGAAGAGTCTTGAGGGAGTCCTTGTCCAGTAGACAGTGATTCTTCATCTTGCTTCTGCTCTGGGATCAGCAGGAGCCTAGAAGCACTATCAGGATTCTCAGTGGCACACCTCACCAGTGGCTCTGAGGAGTCTCAAGTCTGGGTAGGCTGACTCCTACTTCAGGACACTGATGGTTGTGGTCCTTTGGAATATGTTTCCTTTTCCCAAAATATTCTATTGGATCCAGGAGATTCTTAATCGATCAGTCTGGAGCATAACTTCTAGATAATATCCAGTACTACCTAACTCTTCAGTGTTAGGAGTGAGTGTGTGTGTGTGTGTGTGTGTGTGTGTGTGTGTGTGTTGCATGCATTTCTACTCATCTTAACCTTTTCCCCTTCCAGAAATCTCACACTGCTTTTTTGGCCTATGTTGCATGGTAGAGGATATGGTTATGGGATAGGGAATTTAATCCATGGTCTTAATTGGAACATGACCAATAGAGAGGTAAGTTTTACCAATGTTGTTGCCATTTGTCCTGTACTTCATTCTGATAACAGAAACAGAGCCTTAGAAAGACAAACTTGAACTCAGCCTGAATGCCTGACCAGTGAATGGATTGCTCTAGAAGTATTTGTAAGTTCCTCTCTTTAAATGGAGCTGTTTTTTTTTTTTTTTTTTTTTTTTTTTGATATCAGTATATCAGTAGAGATATTCAGTGCTTGTAAACATGAACTGAAGAAAATGTAAACTGTGACATTTGATCTTGTAACCTGGGCAGTTTCCACTATATTAAATTGCATTCTGATTATTTGGAAACCACAATGCTTCTGATCAGCTACTGAGGTCATGCTTGTGGGTCAAGTATCTCATTACACTTGTATTTTCTTCCAAATGGATTTTTACCTTTATTTTATTCTGCTGCTTGTTTTTCTGGCCTATTATTGCAGCCTATTATTGCAGACTTAAAAATAACTCCTATTCCCACTCCCAGAAGCTAAAAGAAACATTTCTAGAAAAAAAAATAAGTGGATCTAATGAAAAAGTTAATATACTAGCTTTCCCTTTTATATGAATGTGTGTGTGTGTGTGTGTTTTGAGAGAGAAGAGAGTTGGTTAATATTAATCTACACTGAGGAACTCAGTGTTTGAAGGCAGATTCTTGCGTTTCCTAACAGAATAAAGAGAATGAGGATCTCTATTCACAAGAGAAGTGGCAGTTCCAGGAGGAATATATGACAATACTGGGCAATATGCAAGGTGCCAATGCAAATGTCACAAGCTGTCTGCTGTTTGGGGGCTGCCAAGTTAGTTTGTAAAGCTATGCAACTTACAAGGTTCTTTAACTGCTTTCCTTACCCTTGATTTTTATAGTCAGTTATTTCAGTCCCTGCCTCCATGCCTTTTAGTAATACTGGTCAATTTATATGTGTCAAGTAGGAAGTACTGTACATAGATTTAGATTCAAAATTTTAAAACATAGTCATTTGCCCCTCACATATTTGTTGAGCCTGGTGGGGCCTTATGCTGGATGTTAGAAGACCCCCCTCAGCAACTTTAAGGCATTTCATGAGGAAAGGCACACAAGAATCATGAACAGGAATTTAAAAGCCCTCAGTGGGAGGGAGCCCCAGAGAAATCACTCACCTCTTCTTTTGTGACTATGTTGTTTGCTAGACTCTGACCTACTGTGGCATTTGGATTCTCACAATGTATTTGAGACTCTTGCTTCTGGATTCATTTATATGTTTTTATCTAGACCCATTCTGTTTCCTGACTCTATATTCCAACCACCCCAGCTTCAAACCTTCCCTTCCCTCTCTTCTCCTTGATGTGTGAAATGGATATTCCTGGGGGTGGTGGTGGTGTCACTAGGTCCAGGATCTTAAGGAACTGTGGACTTGATGCTTTCATCATGCAACAGATTAGCTAGTATTTAAAAGAGGGAGAAGCAGCAAGTCTGAATGTTCTTGGCTTATCCAAAGTCCTATCCATTTGGATACAACAGAAAGATTAAGTGGTTCTTTTTTACCAAAGAGTCAGTGCTGATAGTGCTTGGGCTTGACCACACTCCATTGCCGGGCATAAACCAAGTTAAATGGGGCAAGAGAAGAACTAGTTTCTAATACGGACTTTCTGCAACTCTGCTTTTATTCTGTCTTGCTCATGTCCTGCAGGGTGTGATAATCACTTGCTCATTGACTAGAATGAGTTGGAAGCTCTTGTAATCAATTAAGGTCATGAGGATTCCATTTGTGTTTCCAGGCAGCACCTCAGGAAGATAGCCTACCATCATGAAATAGTTAAATTCTACTGTCCAGATGGTCCATTTAAAACAACCATAAACCCATTCTTTGTGTGTCCTGGTCTTAGTGCACTAATTTATCAGCCATTTTCAAATGATCACTATATGTCAATACTAGTGTCATATTTATATATATGATGTACACATTCACCAATGTTGTAGCATTTAAAGTTTAAAGAAGCTATGCCATGTGCACCTTTTGTGTAACAATAGCAGTTAATGGACCCATAATATATATGAAATCATCAACATCACACCCGGATCCTCCAGACCTGCTTTCAATACAGTGAAATCCCTTCGGGATCCGGGTTCTTTCTCCTGCTCTCCATAGGTTGTAAATATATCCTTGACTTTCCAGATTTATATACATTTTCTCACTTATGGGCTTCTGATAGCTTACTTCTTCCAAGGCATTCCTTAGGAAAAACATTCACTTTGTGATTCCTCCAAAGGCTGAAAACTTAAAACATTGAGCAAACTAAAAAGTCAGAGCAAAAGCCCCTCGTACTGTTGATCATTAATCACTGGCTGGAAGTGTGTGTCAGAACTCTGTGCTGCTCTGATTTCGCTCTTGTGCCCTCCGGGCAAAAACCTCCGCCTTATTTGTGTCTTCTGGAGCACCCAGTATACTGCCGGAGTTCCATAAATAATTAATTTCCCCAATAATAATGGGAAGCAGAAGCTTCCAAGAGCTTCCTTTCCCCTGTACTGTGAAACTGGTGCTATGGTATTTTGACTATCAAAACAATGATTAAGCAGCTTTGGCACACTTTATGTTTGGGCTAAATGCGATTTTGCTAATGCACCATTTCATTCCGCCCTCCCCCAACACTCGTATTTTAATGATTTCTAATTAATATTGTAATATTTCTTGAATAATTCATGTTTTTAAACAAGAAAGGCTGGCATAAATTTATGTCAATCTGTTTGTGTATTGCAGTGCTGTGCATAACAAACAAACACAGTCTGCTTCCCTTGGAGACTGGGGAAGGGGCTACAGAGAAGCATCCAGAATATGGGTCTGGGATACACATCCTCTCCAGAAGAGAAAGGCCACCCAGGTTGCCCTTTCCAGTTCCCAGGTGGACACCTTTGTCTTTGCTACCACCTTTATCATTTCCACTTTTCTCCTGACAGGTGCCCAAGGCCCTCATGCTGTCCTAGATTACCCCGAACCCCTCTCCTTACTAGCCAGCTGTTCCCTGAGCTGAATCTTCTCACCCCACCCCAGTCCCAAAGCAAACCCGTATTTTATCCTCTTAAACATTGCTCAGGGATAGGTGCAAACTATAATTTGATCATCTAGTCAGAGCTAAGTGGATAACAATTGGGGGTGGGTTTATTCATTTAGTCAACAAATATTTAATGAGCACCTGCTGTTGCCTGGAACCATGCAGAGCCTGAGGGCACAAGGACAGTCCTTTATTATAGAATCTTAGCCAAGTAACACAATTGCTCCTTTACTGGAGCTCCTGAGGAGTCCAACTGGGGTTCTTCACAGGCTGGAGGGGGATTTCTTTTAAGGAAAGCAGACTTTTAAGTTTCCCTCTGGACAGCTGTTGATTCTCCCTTTCTAAAAGTTTGAGCTGCAGTCCTAGTATGGTAGAAAGCCAATATAGGTTTTAACATTTTAAAAAATCCTTTTTTTAGGAAAAATTAATTCAGGGACTAGAGGAAAGGTTTCAGAATAAACAGTTGGCCCAGTCTGGACCTTCCTCCTAACTCCACATGGTAATGGTCTCCTTTGTTTGGGACTAAATTCATGTTCTGTTAAATTAAACATAAAATTATACCAGATCCCCTGAAGCAGGGATTCTTTTTCATAGAGCATTTTCTCTTCCTCTCAGGTTAGGAAGCCTGCTGCTTTTAGGGAAACTGTTAACTTGTGGTATCTGTTGTCAAGTGACTTCCAATTCTACTTCCCCCTCCTTCCTTGGGGCTGGAGAAAAGACTTTAATATCTATCATTTCTGTCTGCATTAAGGCACTACTAATGCTGTGCTGACCCTGCTGCTGGGGCCATTACTGTGTGTCACTGTTAATTAGTAGCCATTGGAATACCCAAGCTGGTGACATGGTTCACTGAGATGGATGTGGTTGTTTTGATTGCATTGCTATTGCTGGGCTAACTATCATCTGTACTAATGATTTCCAAGTAGGTAGCAAAAGGGTAGGAGGGAAATGACTTAATTTGATTTTTTTTTCCCTCTACCATCTCTAAGAGCAATTTTAGTTGTGAAAATACTCTGGAGGCAACAGCTCCTGAATTCGTTGCAGTCTTTGGAAAGACAGATTGTTATTAACTGACCATAAAGAGATAGGGAGTGTTGGTGATTATGTATACAATATAATCTTCCCAGAACAGAGATAACATACCTGCCCTCTGATGGACTGCAAATGGCCTCTGTGGACATAGTCATCCTATAGGGCTGTGGCTGGTCCTAATGACACTGAAAAATGGAAAGTAGAGTTGAAAGTAAATACAAAGTAGTGGGAGTATGTGGCTAGTAGCAAAAGGAGAAATTTGGCTTGTCTCTGCCCAAAGGGTATAGGAAGGCTTAGAGAGAGAGATGATGAAATTTTCATGACGGAAGCTGAAACTCAGAAAGTTTTCAGAATGTGCACTTTCCTTCACTTCTGTTCCAGTGTCTGCATGTTGCTTGGGTATAATGGTGCTGCATCTCACATCACCTTTGCTCTGTTTCCTGACCCCAATGGCTTAATCCATGTGGATTAAGGATAGACAGCTGCCTGGAACTAGAATTGAACCAGAAACTCACATGTCTCTAGACTGGGTCATACTTTCACCACCAAGGGGCAATTTTAACACATGCCCCATCAGTGTGTTTTCTATCTATCCTCAGATATTTAATTCAGGGATTCTTCCAAACTTCTGTCTGTCCTCAGATTCTGTCCTGTCACCTCCTCTCTCACTTCCTGCATTTTGCTATCTGGGAAGGAAGAATATTCTCAGGTTCTGCACAACTATTTAGAAGCCTCTTACCTTGTATCCCTCTTCTATCTGTTCTTGACTATGCTGCCTCCAGGGTTTGGGAATGAGGTTTACCTCCTCTGGGCTCTGTTCCTTTGGCTATTTCTACTTCTCCTGGGTCCTCAGCCTTGCCAGCTTCACTGACCTTAGCTCTCAAGTCCTTCCCATTGCAAAGAAAAATCCTAAGTTTATCTCACATTTTCCTTGAACT